TCAGTGTTTCACCTTTTTAACCGTTTTAGTCAACTGTCAATCTAGTGTGTGACCAATCAACCAAGCATATCACTTGTCAACCTAGTGTGTCACCAATCAACCAAACATATCACCTGTCACCCTAGTGTGTCATCAATCAACCAATCATATCACCTGTCAACCTAGTGTGTCACCAATCAACCAAGCATATCACCTGTCAACCTAGTGTGTCACCAATCAACCAAACATATCACCTATCAACTTAGTGTGTCACCAATCAACCAAGCATATCACCCTAGTGTGTCACCAATCAAACAAGCATATGGCATGTCACCCTAGTGTGTCACCAATCAACCAAGCATATCACCTGCACCCTAGTGTGTCACCAATCAACCAAGCATATCACCTGTCAACCTAGTGTGTCACCAATCAACCAAGCATATCACCCTAGTGTGTCACCAATCAACCAAGCATATCACCAATCAACCAAGTGTATCACCTGTCAACTTAGTGCACTATTTGTCAACACAGTGTGTCACCTGTTAACTTAGTGTCACCTGTCAATCTAGTATTTGACTCTCAAACTTGTGTGCCAACTGTAAAGCTTGTGTGTCACATAGTAACCTAGTGTCACCTGTCAACTATGAGTATTATCTGTCAACCCAGTGTGTTACCTGTCAATCCAGTGTTTCACTTTCAAACGTGTGCATCACCTGTCAACCCAGTAAGTGTCTTTTCGACAAAGTGTGTTAGATGTAAAAGGGACAATAAAGTACTAAACTGTCAACCTAGTGTGTCACATGTCAACCTAGTATGTCATATGTCCAACTAGTATGTCACAGATGAACCTTGTATGTCACATGTCAACGTAGTGTGTCACATGTCAACCTAGTGTGTCACATGTCAACATAATGTATCACATGTCAACCTAGTGTGTCACATCAACCAAGTGTGTCACATGTCCACCAAGTGTGTCACATATCCACCTAGTATGTAACATGTCAACCTTATGTATTACATATCAACCTAGTATGTCACATGTCAACCTTGTGTGTCACATGTCAACATAGTGTGTCACATGTCAACCTTGTGTGTCACATATCAACCTAGTATGTCACATTTCAACCGAGTGTGTCACATGTCAACATAGTGTGTTACATGTCAACCTAGTGTGTCACATGTCAACCTAGTGTGTCACATATCAACCTAGTATGTCACATGTCAACCTTATGTATCACATGTCAACCTAGTGTGTCACATGTCAACCAAGTGTGTCACATATCAACTTAGTATGTCACATGTCAACCTAGTGTGTCACATGTCAACATAGTGTGTCACATGTCAACCTAGTGTGTCACATATCAACTTAGTATGTCACATGTCAACCTAGTGTTTCACATGTGAACCAAGTGTGTCACATATCAACTTAGTACGTCACATGTCAACCTAGTGTGTCACATGTCAAACTAGTGTGTCACATATCCCCTGTCACCCTAGTGTGTCACCAATCAACAAAGAATATCATATGTCAACCTAGTGTGTCACATTTAAACCTAGTATATCACATGTCAACCTAGTGTGGCACATGTCAACCTAGTGTGGCACATGTCAACCTAGTGTGTCAAATTTTAACATAGTATGTCACATGTCAACCTAGTCTGTCACATGTCAACCTAGTATGTTTCACATGTCAACCTAGTCTGTCACATGTCAACCTAGTGTGTCACATGTCAACCTAGTGTGTCACATATCACCTGTCACTTTAGTGTGTCCCCAATCAACAAAGAATATCACATGACAACCTAGTGTGTCACATGTCAACATAGTGTATCACATGTCAATCTTGTTTGTCATATTTCAACCTAGTATGTCACATGTCAACCGAGTGTGTCACATGTCAACCAAGTGTGTCAATATCAACTTAGTATGTCAAATGTCAACCTAGTGTGTCACATCTCAACCTAGTATGTCACATGCCAACCTAGTGTGTCACATATCAACATATTGTGTCACATGTCAACCTAGTGTTTCACATGTCAACCAAGTGTGTCAATATCAACTTAGTATGTCAAATGTCAACCTAGTGTGTCACATATCAACATATTGTGTCACATGTCAACCTAATGTGTCACATGTCAAACTAGTGGGTCACATATCACCTGTCACCCTAGTGGGACACCAATCAACAAAGAATATCACATGTCAACCAAGTGTGTCACATATCAACTTAGTATGTCACATGTCAACCTCGTGTGTCACATATCAACCTATTGTGTCTCATGTCAACCTAGTGTTTCACATGTCAACCAAGTGTGTCACATTTAAACCTAGTATCTCACATGTTAACCTAGTGTGTCACATGTCAAACTAGTGGGTCACATATCACCTGTCACCCTAGTGGGACACCAATCAACAAAGAATATCATTAGTCAACCTAGTGTGTCACATTTAACCCTAGTAAATCACATGTCAACCTAGTGTGTTACATGTCAACTTAGTGTGTCACATGTCAACCTTTTGTGTCACATGTCAACCTAGTGTTTCACATGTCAAACTAGTTTTCACATATCACCTGTCACCCTAGTGGGACACCAATCAACAAAGAATATCATTAGTCAACCTAGTGTGTCACATTTAACCCTAGTAAATCACATGTCAACCTAGTGTGTAACATGTCAAGCTAGTGTCACATATCACCTGTCACTTTAGTGTGTCCCCAATCAACAAAGAATATCACATGTCAACCTAGTGAGTCAAATATCAACCTTTTGTGTCACATGTCAACCTAGTGTGTCACATGTCAAGCTAGTGTCACATATCACCTGTCACTCTAGTGTGTCACCAATCAACAAAGAATATCACATGTCAACCAAGTGTGTCACATTTAAACCTAGTTTATCACATGCCAACCTAGTGTGTCACATGTCAACCTAGTGTGTCACATGTCAACCTAGTGTGTAACATATCAACCTATTGTGTCACATGTCAACCTAGTGTGTCACATATCACCTGTCACCCTAGTGTGTCACCAATCAACAAAGAATATCACATATCAACCTAGTGTGTCACATGTCAACCTAGTGTGGCACATGTCAACCTAGTGTGTCAAATTTTAACATAGTATGTCACATGTCAACCTAGTATGTCACGTGTCAACCTAGTCTGTCACATGTCAACCTAGTGTGTCACATGTCAACCTAATGTATCACATGTCAACCTAGTGTGGCACATGTCAACCTAGTGTGGCACATGTCAACCTAGTGTGTCAAATTTAAACATAGTATGTCACATGTGAACCTAGTGTGTCACATGTCAACCTAATGTATCACATGTCAACCTAGTGTGTCACATGTCAACATAGTGTATCACATGTCAATCTTGTGTGTCATATTTCAACCTAGTATGTCACATGTCAACCTAGTGTGTCACATGTCAACCTAGTGTGTCACCTGTAATTAAGAGTAGACAGCCTTGTGGCTATCACCTGTAGTTTTGATACAACACTTTATATATTTAATGATAAAAATACTGATATGCTGTAAAACATCAATGTGTATTTGCAATCAATGTAAAGTTGCAGTGTGTTAATATGTTTAACAAAAATATGAACAAATCTTGCTGATTAGAACTAGCGGACAAATTGGAAATCAATTCAATAAACTGGTAAAACAGATTTTTAAAAATCAGAATTATAAGATTTACAAACTCATTTTTTAAAGTCACTCTCATAACTAAAACCTCAGTTGTGGGAAGTTGAGCCAGTATAGCGCTGTGTACAGACAGGTGATGTATGGTTGGTTACACCATTCAGCACATTTATGTACTTTTAAACGATCCCTTGTGACAATACACACACCTGCCCACAGGTGAGACGTGTGGCCGAACACTTGCCGAGTACCTGTAAGTCAACTTGATACAGGTAGGCTGCACCGACAGGTATAATACAGGTATAGGGTGACAGGAACGCCAGACATACAGCTAGGAGAATGACAGCTTACACAAACAGAAGGGTTTTTTCATTTACAAGAAAGATTTTCCACATACTGAAAATTAAATGTTATGAAATCATGACGCAGTGATAGACTCATCAGCTCATTTAGGTTGGGTTGGTAGAGAACGGGGACCTGATCATAAGTGGTGCTTGCTTCTTGCATGTGACAATGTTAAATTTGTACCTTACTAGTTATTGCAAGATTTAACTGAACAGCACCTTAATGAGTCACCTATAGCTATTGTTCTTCAAAACGTAGTATTCTTATGTTTTATATAGAAATTTATCAATATTTATCAACGTTGATTTGTTCAATTTTGAAATATCATTTAAATAAATCCACAAGTTAAGCATAAGGGTCTGGACCCTCAGACAGGAATATACACATGTCTCCATGGCCACTCTGGATAAACAGACTTAATTTGTAGTATAAGTCTTGATGTTTTATTAAACATCTAGTCGAGGAAGTTGTCTAATTATCATATCTGTTTAAAATATACACGCAGCAGTAAATAAAATCTGTTTTATATATAAATCTAACCAGGGTTTTTGTACATTTCCTAATTTGTTAAAACAAACAAAAATGAATTAAATTAAATTTGAAGCTATACAAATATGCTCTCATTACATCACTTATAAATTAACATCTATATATACGTATTAGACTTAAATGTTAGGCAAGAAGATCAAAAGAAAGATACAAGGGCTGGAGAGAGGAACACACGTTAAATTATACTTTTTCAGCAAAATTAAGAATACATTCTGGCTAATTTAGGTTCATAGAATAATCTGTTCAAACCGGCTGGGGAATGGCGACTTCATGCTAGGAACGTTCTCCTCTTTCCACGGTCTAGTTAGCGGTGGTGGGGTGGAGTGAAACTGTCACATAATAAAACTGTAATATCGTGCATTTATTACCAAATACATGTTTTCCAATGAAAACGTGTTACATGATTCATTGACAACTATTGTGTTCCTGCACAACACATGCACACACGCACAAACACTTGTTGATCAGTGTGTGACTTACCTTATCATAAATGCTGTGTGAAGCTGCCCATGCTTCTCCGCTGTCCCGATACGTAACTGTTCCGGTGAAATTCTGTTGATGTAGAATAGTGGAGGAAATTAAATATCCCGGCAATTTTTGCAATAACACTACAATTGACATCATGTAAATGAAATATAACTGATTGACGGTAAGTGATATTAATCACAAGTGTTACAAGACAAGCAGTGTAATTTGCAGCTCGAATAGTGTCTCCTCTCTTAGCATACTGGCGTACCTCGTGTAACCAACTAGTAACCTCAAATATGTGATGAAGACGACGAGGAGGTAAACGTGTTGCCTGTCCTCTGAACACCAGATACCGGGGAAATAGAGTAAAACGATACTTGTGTAGTGCACGAGCTTAGAATCAATACAAACCCGATACACAACCTCTTTCTCTAAAAACACTTACGCCTATCCCGATGTCGCCCCGACTCTCGCGTTTGCCACATGAAAATTTTAATACAGACAAATAGATTTGAGACTAATAAACTGCCAACAACCAAGTTAGCCAATATTGTGAAGTGAGCATCAGACAGACAGAGCCGACATCGAGTGTTTATCTGATCATAAGTAGTACAGAAAATCGAAGCACTGGGCCTTTCGTTCCGTGCCTGGCGCCTGCCTGCTTAAATTAATGGTAAGGCGATGTGACTGTGCGTCAGGCGGTGACTGTACGCCAGACAGAAAATTTGACCCGGCGCCCACCTCTGTAGGCTCTCCCCGCTCGCGGTGTCAGCCTGTCGCGCCAGAACGTCTGCCGCGCGCCCCGAGACGTGCCCTGCAGTTTGAAAGGAGATACCGGCGTATATATATATATATTATGTGGGGCCTCTGAATCTAGGTAGTCTAGCTGACTGTCTAGGACGGTCCATTTGATGGATACGGCAAACATAGTCAACAGTGCGAGGATCACTTGTAATTTTGCTTATAATTACGGTTAGATGTTGGAGTTATCCCCAATTCAGACAACATCATCAGCTTCTGTCTCGTACATGGGGGGTCATTTACTTGTTAGTTACAACACCACAGAGGAGAAATGTGTGTACAAAAATATCAGAAACAGTCTTCTGATAGGAGGGCTGTATAGAAATACTAATTAGTCGTACGCTAATAACTTGTTTGTGTATACGTGTGCTCAAATTACCAAATGAAATGTTACGCGAGTTTCGACTACAACCTTCTCATGCACGTAATGTACGTGTGTACTTCGTGGCTAGCAGTGGAGACAAGAACAGCAGGGAAATGATTGCTCTCGAGTCAGCGAGACAGACGATGTCGCCAGGACGAACGCCGAGAGACAGATTAAGCTGTATCAATGGCGCGTCATCCAGTTAGCCGGCAAAGAAAGACGTTTTTGTTTTTAATGTCATACATAAATAAAGAGAAACTGTTAAACTCTGCCACGATGTTTTGTACTGCGATCTTACAACAGAGAATGTACCGGCCATGTCAATGCAATAGCGCCAATCTTTGCGCTACTCAGACAGTGCAAGTTCACAGTCTCGGATCAACCGTCAAATTATCATAGGGCAGGGTTCAAACAGAACAGCAGGGAGGCGGCGGCGGTGTGGTGGATGGGAGGGGTTTCAAATGATTTCCCGCAACGTCAAAAAAGTGTTACTGGCGGTGTTTTTTCGAAAATGATATTGATGATTTCTTAAAATATGTAACTTATAAGTGTGTCGGAAGTAGGAATGATATAGATATATATAAAAAAAAAAAAAAAGAGAGAAAAACTCTGAAGAACACTACAGAAAAAGGTGTTCATTCCTACACCGACAATGTTTCCGACACCCTAAAATGTGTATTTAAGGATTAACTTGAATATATTCTCTACGGTTTTTTGTGTTATAGCTCCATAACATGAAAAAAAATATTCAAGTTAATCCTTATAATTTAATCTACTTTAGACGATCCCTGTGGAAGTCCACTTTTATTGATGGACTCTTTTCTCTTAGAAATTATTGCGCTGCTGTATCAGCCAATCAAAAGCGACGTTACAAACGGCGACGTCATTTTTTACGTTATGGGCTGATAACATAAAATTTTAAGTCAATGAAAATGCTTGTTACAAGCAAGATTAAATTGTAAATCTGTAACAATTGAGGGTTGAGATATTCCACACACCTAAAATTTGTTTAAACCTGTTACAATAGAATAACGAAGACATTTCCCACTCAGAAAATGTGTGTAAATATGGTGGATTTTTCAAAAATAGATAAGACATTTCCTACAACAAAAACACATGTACATTTGACGTATAAAGGGATGTCGATAGAAATGATACGACATTTCCTACAACGAAAACACATGACCATTTGACGTATAAAACTATGTCGATAGAAATGATACGACATTTCCTACAACGAAAACACATGTACATTTGACGTATAAAACTATGTCGATAGAAATGATAAGACATGTTTAAACTGAAGAGTGTATATACTCTGTTACAATAGAAGAGAAAGAAATTATTAACACTGAGAAATGTATAAATCTATACCGATGGAATAGAAAGATATTTCACACGAAAATGATAAATGCATAATTTGCTTTAAAAGGATAGATAGCGCATTTCTCGCACCAAGAAGGGCGTAACTTGGGGGCACTATTGACACATTGTCTTCCCTCCTGTAGTTAATTCTCATCTAGACCAATGTTCGGTTGGCGGACAAACCAGTTCTAAGCGTAAATGGAGATGCCAGGGAAATGAGAGAATGGATGAGAGAGAAAGGAGAGACAGAGATTTGCAGTGGTCCAATTAGAAAGAACATACTTTACACGATGTCTCATCTAATAAATTAACCCAGACCTCCCTGGATCATACAATGAAACATACGACATAGGTTGATATTATAATTTATTCTGTGTTTTGACAATGAATTCCTTTCGCCAACCTTTATGCCAAAGGTTCAAAGATGACAACATGACGTCAAAAAACAATACAATGTTTGGCATGTGACCTTGACCTTGATAATTCTTCAACTCCCCGTTGATGTCGGGTCAAGTTTATATATCTGTTTGGACGAATAGACTCTTGCTATCTGACCATCAGTCTAGCTTTCGATTGTAACAAGTTTCTGACCGATTGACGCAACGTTTTTTCCGGTTTTCCGAATAATGATCATTTCCTCCTGTTGGAGGTAATTACTGCAAAAAGCACCAGAAAAAAATACAATAAACCACATGGTACTTTTGGAGGCCTTAGTGAGCGTATAACTGGTACAGCAACATCGCTACCAAAACCCCTGTCATATTCCGGTAGCTTTAAAGGGCGACGTACATGCCTTCCGTAACATCACCTATATTTAAGCTGGTTACGGCAGGAAACGTATAACATTGTTAACAAGGTTTTGATTATTTTAGAGTACCTGCATCGTCTGGACAAATGCAATGAACTTGGTGACTGAAGATATCGATTCTGCTGAGGTACTTGAAGATGCCATATCACTATGTCTTGGTAGTACTTCGTTAAATAAGCTTCTTGTAATACTACATACATATGACAAACCTAAACATTTGTTATAACACGTAATGGAGACGTGTTTTCTTTTGTACTAGGTATGTGATCTGTAAGACGTGTCCTGTTATGTACAAGGCGTGTTATCTTGTGTACTTCACGTGTTTTCTTGTGTGTGTGTGTGACGAGATATTATTTTCTAAACGAGTTATCCTATACACTAGTCGTGTTAGCTTATATGCTAGCCGTGTTATCTTATATACTAGGCTTGTTATCTTATATACTAGCCGTGTTATCTTATATACTAGGCTTGTTATCTTATAAAATAGGCTTGTTATCTTATATACTAGCCGTGTTATCTTCTATACTAGCCGTGTTATCTTATATACTAGGCTTGTTATCTTATATAATAGGCTTGTTATCTTATATACTAGGCTTGTTATCTTATATACTAGGCTTGTTATCCTATATACTAGGCTTATCTTATATACTAGCCGTGTTATCTTATATACTAGGCTTGTTATCTTGTTTATTTTAAGTGTTATGTAATGTACTAGACGTGATATCATGTGAATATGACGTGTCATGTTATGTACTAGGTATGTTATCTTGTGTACTGCACGTGTTCTCTTGTGTGTGTAACGAGTGATATTATTTTCTAAACAAGTTATCCTATATACTAGCCGTGTTATCTTATATACTAGGACTGTTATCTTGTGTACTTCACGTGTTTTCTTGTTTGTGTAACGAGTGATATTTTCTTAACAAGTTATCCTAAATGCTAGCCTTGTTATCTCATATGATAGGCATGTTATCTTGTGAATTTGACGTGTGATACGATATACTTACTGGCTTGTTATCTTGTTTATTTAACGTGTTATGTAATGTACTAGACGTGCTATCATGTGTATATGACGTGTCATGTTATATACTAGGCGTGTTATCTTGAGTACTAAACTTGTTATCTTGTGTACTACAACATGTTATAATTCTAAACTAGGCGTGTCATCTTTTGCATTTGATGTGTTATATTATTACTCAGTTATCTTGTGTATTTGATGTGTTATATATATTATTACTAGGTATGCTATCTTATGTATTTGATGTGTTATATATATTATTACTAGGCATGCTATCTTGTGTATTTGATGTGTTATATACATTATTACTAGGCATTCTATCTTGTGCACTAGGCATGCTATCTTGTGTATTTGATGTGTTATAAATATTATTACTAGGCATGCTATCTTGTGTTTTTGATGTGTTATATATTATCATCTTGTGTATTTGATGTGTTATATATCATTATTAGGCATGCTATCTTGTGCACTATGCGTGTTATCTTGCGTACTACGATTGTTATATTGCGCAAGACATGTTACAAATCTAGAATAAGCGTGTTATCTTGTGCATTTGAAGTGTTAAGTACGTGCTATCTTGTGTATATGACGTGTTATCGTGTGTACAAGACTTGTTTACTTGACTTGATACGGTTCTAGGTGTAATATCTTAAATGTAAAACGTGATATCCTGGGTTATAGAAGTGATGACTTCTGTACAAGAGGTGTTACTGTTTGTACCGTGGGTGTTATCTTATGCTCTTAACGTGTATTTATTATTGTATGCGTATAGTGTACTAGGTAATGGGTGATCGGGTGGCGCAGTTGGTAGTGCACTCGCCTTTCACTAAGACGACCGTGGTTCGAATCCATGATTGGATGTGAATAGCGTTGGGGTTACCTGCCCGACCACGAGGGTTTTCTCCGGGCACTCCAGTTTCCTCTTACATTGAAACCCATAACGTGTTAACATCCGGACCAACAAGAGTGACTAATATAAGTTAACAACACTTGTTTAGGATTGTTGTATAGTAAGTGAAGTTTGAGTAGGTGTACATGGCGTGTTTGATTGTGTACTAAACGTGTTATCTGGAGTTCTAGACGTTTGACATTGTGTACTACACGTAGGCGTATTATTATGGTACTACGTGTCTTGAGTATTGGACATGTTATCTGGTGAACTAGTCGAGTCTAGGCGTGCTATGGTGTATTCTAAACGTGTTCTGATGTGAACTAGGCGTTATAGTATGGCACTGGTCATGTTTTGAGGATAAGACGTGTTATCCCGTATAATAAACGTGTTATCATGTTTACTAGTCGTATTATCGTGTATACAAGGCGTGTTTTCTTGTACATTAGCCGTGTTATCATGTGTACTTAACGTTTTGTCCTGT